TCGAATTTTGAAATCAACATATTTAGCAACATATTACTCTCTCATGACAAAGTCCTTTTTATAAGAGACCCGCAATTGACTATTATTCATGGTTTCCGATATATTTGTTTTTTGATAAAATCTTGCCTAATTAGTAAATTTCTAAAAGTATTCTTTCAAGATCCTTATTTAATAATGTTTCGATTGTCTCAGGTACTCTTAAATATTATGAAAAAGCTTTGTGTGTCAGAATATTTGAAGGTTAGATGGGTTATTTTGCGTGGATTGAAACTGGTTAGTTTCAAGTTGAGTAAACTATATGATTAAAATTTCTCTAAGTAAGTTGAAGGTCTTATTGATGATGCTTTGGCTCTTGTACATTTCTGCTCAAGCACTTCAATATATGAGGAGAAAATGAATTTATAGTTTTTTTCCAATATGAATCAGAAGGTTTGAAATCCAATTTCCCATTAAGTTAAGACTCAAAAGTAATTGAAGAAAGGTGAAAAAAAGTGAGTCATATTTTCAATACAATCTAATTTAATTCTAATTTATAACTTTTATGATTATTAATTAAATTTTTTATTTATTTGAAATTTTTATGATGCTCACTAGAATTCTCCAAATTTTTCAATAAAAATTATATAACAATTGATAATATTGAACAATAATAAAATATTAGATTCATATTTAATGAATTTAAGCATATAATTTCAGAAATATTAATATTTATATAATCCAACTCAATATGAATGATTTTAGAAATTTAAATATAGTATACTTACGAAAATCATATTTATTCAAAAATATACAGTTATTCTTAATTTGGATAATCATTATTTAAGTAATAGATTTGAGATTCATTCTCTAATTTGATCTTTAAAATTAGCTATTTACCTATTTAATTGGAGTATATTTATTTATTACTATAGAGAAACATTGTTTAGTGATATGTTTTGTTTTACATATATTTTTTTAATTAATGATGAATCTTATAATTTTAATTTAAATGTGATTTTCAAAAAATTTTATATATTATTGTAAAGATAAACAGTATCAGCTCATTATCATTTATCAAATTTAGGTGAAGAGCTTTATTAAATAAATAATGAATACTAGCTTAATTTTGAAGAATTTACTTTTAGAATTTGATCCAATAAACATTATTAATACTTTAGTTCATAAAAATGCTACTAATTTTTTTTATGTTTAAAAGTGTATAATCTTAATATAAATTAACAGTGTGAGATGGATTTAACTCATAATCTATAAAAAATAAATTAGTATCCTTCAAAAATTTGATACACTTTTATTTCATACCTTATCTAATAATCGATTATTTTTCCACATCATTAAAGTAAAAATCTTAATAATATGTTTCTAGTATATTTAATTATCTTTTTCCAATTAATACATAAAAATAATTACTTATCATATCTTATGTTATCTTTATTTACAACAATTATTTATTGAAAATGTAGCAAATTTTAGTTTTAATTTTTGAGAAATATAAATATTAGAGCACTATTTTTAATAGTTTGAAATCTAAATTCAACCTAATTATATTGAGTACTTAATTCTGTTTTAACACTTACTTTTTTAGTCAACATTTAAGATATTATACATTTAAGAACAAAAATTCGTGATTTGGTGACACAATTATATAATTTTATTTTAGATCCATCTTTTGATTCCCTAACAGTGGCAAAGGTATTGCCATAATATAGTTAAAAATAAATTAACCAGCATGAATTCGTTTTTCTATAAACAGAATTTAAATAAATTTGAAATAATTTAATAACTTGAATTTTTATTAGGCTGTGCAAATTTAATTGCTAATTATTAAAGGAAAAATTGTATTAAATAATACACAGTAAAATAGATTTATTTTTTGATATTAAATGGTAAAATTAAATTACACATGTGATATGAATAAAAAATTATGCTCAATAAATAACATCTAACTAATTTAATTAAATAATAAATAATAATTCTTATAAGTTTGAATTAGACTCAAGAACTATAGATATTATATTCTAGAACATGATTGCATCCTGTTATTTGCATGCTATCGAATTCTTATACAAAAGTGTCTTTATATCATCTATCTTAATCCAATCTGAAAATAAAAGAATTTTAACAATTTTCTTAAGAAATAAAAAGAAATTTTTCTTCTTTTTCAACCACTTAATCATTTATATTAGTGTTTTAGCTCTTTATAAATCTACACC